TTTGATATAATGGATATGGACAAATTTCCCTCGTTGGAAAGGGATGGCATGATGCCATTAGAACACATTAACACTGACAATATACATCGTGATGAGTCTGAGAGAATACATGATGAAGATGACATTTTCATTACTAACTGTGATATAGAGGAAGCTTCTAGTAGCTATGACATAAAAATGGATGACACATTAATTAGTGATGAATGTGACTCTGACTAATTATATTCAATGGTATCAATGAATGTTTCAGTAGTTTAGTAATTGACGCCTTATTGAAATTTTGTTTGATCTTTATTGTGATTGGTGGAACGTGACATTTTTTCCATCATTGACCAGCAAAAAACACAAGTGTTGTGTTTGTGCTTGTGCTGCAGCTCCATTTGTGAGATGTTTTTGTGTATTTCTTGCTAGAATTTTTCAGATAAGTTGCTCCTAAGTGTTTGCTTGATGTTGTATTGATTTTTTTGATGAAATATGAAAGACTAGTTATTGTCTGTACCTGAAAGCACAGAGTAATAAAAATAGTAAATAATAAACATATTTGTATTCATATCCAAAATCAAATCACAAACATCGGTTTATAGTGGGGGTGAGAGGTGGTGGATGGCAGTGGTGATGGTAGGAGACGGTGATAGTTGTGGTGGGTGGTAATGACCGTGGTGGTGGCGAGGGCAGCAACGATAGTGGTGGTGGTGGTGGCGGCGACGACGACGACGACGATGGCAGTGACGGGTGGCGGGGGCAGGGGCGGTAGGGGTCGTGGGGGTGGTGGTGGCGATGGTATGGGTGGCGATGGCGGTGGCGGTGGTGACGGCGAAGGTGGTGGTGATGGTGGTAGTGGTGGTGGCGGTGGCGACAGTGGCGGTATTGGTAGAGGTAGTGGTGGGACGGTTTCAAACACTATTTTTTTTTAAAGTATTTATGAGACATAATTTTTAAAAATACTTTAAAAAAATCACTTCAAACACACTCTTAGAGACTTATTTTTCTTATTAAATTTAGGGTGTTAATATTAGCTGTTAGATTAACTTTAAAATAAAATTTAAAACGATCTTAACCGCGAATAGCAAAAGTCACTTTGTTTATCTTGTGAGATTTGAATTGTGAATTACTTTATTATATAAATTTTTGATTGTATTTCTCGGGTACATGTAGCAGAATTTTTTTGCCGATCAGAAGAATAAGGTGTTGCTAAGGAAAAAAAAATGCATTAGTGTTGCATCTGTGCTTGAATTGCAGCTCCATTTGTAAGATTTGAGAGATGGTTTGAACGAGGAGTTTCTTTTTAACAGATTCCGGCTTCGCGACGATCTAGTTCCCAATGCAGACTGGTAATAGTGCTAGTACATCACCACCTAGACGTGAGTCTCATGGATCCACAAGTGTGCCAAGTGCTCCTTTGCCTGACGGACAATGTAGAGTTGATATGTTATAGAATTCAAATAGTCCAGGATAATTGGATAGAGTAGACCAATTTGTACTATTCTCATGACTTGGATTTGCATTCTAAGTTCCTCCCAGCACTTTCTTTCTCTTGTATTGCTTGTAACAACACTCTTCGTATTATACATCTCAGATTCATCCATATAGAGGAAGAAAAGTGGACCAACTAGAAATATTGCACTTGCCCAAAAAAAACAAACCGATGAAAAGCATAATGTTGCGATGCCTGAGGAGCTTGGGCGATAGTATAGTTGGATTGTCAGCCGCTTATCACAGAGCTGAGGTGTATTGTTCGGAAACATTCACCACTTCAAATAACAAAATGGGCAAAGATTGATGACGTAGATTAACAAAGTTTACTTTAGATGACAAATGTAAGTATTAAACATTTGCATATTTCTAGGAACAATACTCTTGTTCTGAATTCATTTTATTTTGTTTAGAATATTTTGGTTTTCTTTTGTAGGAATCGTTCCAACTCAATGAACAACAAAATGTTAATTTAAAAATAACCAACACACACTCCACAAGAAGTATTTCAAGTCACACCCATTGAAGTGGCAATGCAGCATCCACCACCAGGCACATCACTTGAAGACTGAAATTATCTCTGTCTTTATTTTTTCTCTGATGAATTTAAGGTTTTCTTACTAACTAAATAAAAAAATGATTTAATTTTTTTGCTTTGTTAGTTTATGCTTATAATGTGTGAAATAATTATCTTTTAATTTAGAAAAAGAGTGCCCAAAATGCATGGAATCAAGCATTGACTTTGTTCCTGCAGTGTTGAACGGGTAAATATATACTTTTTGGTTATAATTTATCACATAAATAAATGTTGAAAATTGATTCATAAATTCTACAAACCATAGAAATCTGAGGCTACAGAAGAGCTTGAGCCGATTACAGTGACAAGAAGCACTACTCTTGGGTTAATGAACATGCACATCAGAACTATACACTTGTTTATTTAAAAATACAAATGTGTACTTCAATGTAATTGATCATTGAATTGGTATGTCCATGCAGGAAATTGATGATTGACCTTCAAGCTTAGTCCGAAGGGGAGGATGAAACGCCAAAGAGTCGGGATGAAATTTGCTCACAAGTTAGGACACAGATCAGAGTACATACGTGGTCGTGGACCTGGTCCAAAGCCAAGCTCATTCGCATCCCAACAGCACCACCGGGCAGGCATCTAATAGGAGAGCCAACGAGTTGGTCCTGCAACTCAAGCATCAACAGTTGGAGATGAAAGAGATGAGTGATTAATTTAGGGTATCACAAAAAGTAACTAATGGCAATTATTAAGCATTAATGGAACTACTGCGTAATGGGGGACACATTTCTACTCCTCCTTTATGGTACGCGAAATATTGTGATTAATGTGAAACTATGAGTTCAATAGACTCTATTCTCTATTGGCTGAAGATTTGGTGATTTTGATTTTGTTGCATCATAGATGTAAGCTATGTGGTGCTAAGGTTGGTTGATTATTGATGATATCTCAAAATAAATCTCAAATGTCAGCTCAAGAGATCAGCTCAGTTCAGAAGGTCAGACTAGACGAACATAACTTGAAAGAGTAGAGTTAGAGGTCCCTTCGAGATAGGCAAGGGCAATAACAACCAAGGCAACAGGTGGAAGATCACGAGAGGTTCCTAAAAGCGTTAGGAAGCTATAATCAAGGCATCTAATCTCAACCAACCAAGNAGTAGAGTTGGAGGTCCCTTCGAGATAAGCAAGGACAATAACAACCAAGGCAACAATTGGAAGATCACGAGAGGTTTCTAAAAGCGTTAGGAAGCTATAATCAAGACACCTAATTTCAACTAACCAATATCTTCTCCTAGAATTAGGGAGAATCCCACAAAGTAAGGACAAGAATCTCGGCCAGGATCCCACTTAGCAGGGAATGACCCTATAAATGCACTGTAACACCTCCAAACATAGGGAGGACCCTAGTGGCAAGAGAAAGTCATAGCAACTTTGTAATCATAGTGAATAAAATAGAAGGAGCAAGAACCTCCATTGAAGAGTGGACTAGCTGAGCTTTTGAGCCGGTAAACCACTATATTTTTACTATGTGCACCCCGTTAATTCCCTGAATATTTTATCAGTTAGCATCATATACGAGCCATTTAGTTCTGATCCACGCTCACCTCACATTACTTTCATCTTAAGCTCTTCCACGATTGTATACACCATCATATATTAATAAATACATATATACGTATTTGTATATATATATATATATATATATATATATATATATGTATACAAGTATGTACATACGTATAAATATAAATATATATACGTGTAAAGTGTAATATTGAAAGTGTAAAGTGTAAAGTATTATCTTATGTCTCACTTTTCTTAATGGAAAGTGTAAAATGTTATAGGGTAATATTGAAAGTAACAACAACAGGGTAGCAATAACAATGTAACAAACTATTTACATAAGGTAAGGGGAGACATTATCTAAAGTGTTACAGAAACAGAATGTACATGTCTCATCTTACACTAAAAATGCTAATTAATTGAGAAAGTGTGAAAGTGTTACACTTTCAATGTTAACATATAACATTTCACACTTTTCATTAAGTAAGGTGAGACATAAGGTAATACTTTACACTTTATACTTTCAATGTTACACTTTACACGTATATACAGACTTGTATATGTACTTATTTATATATATGTATATACATATTTATATATACATATATAATATACATAAATAAATAAATATATATATATATATATATACACACACACACACAAGTATAAATATAAATATATATACGTATATTGTATTTATATATACTTGTTTATACGTATTTATATATACTTGTTTATATGTATTTATATATACTTGTTATATATATATATATATATATATACATGAATCAATGTGTATTAAATATTAAAGTTCTCTCATAAAACTAAGAGATATTTAATGCACCATTTTTCCTAAAATGGACATTTATGTCTTTGTATCTAATTAGTGTACCTTTTTTTCAAAATATTTTTTAATATGTACTTTTTTTCAAATAAGTCTAATTAGGTATACCGACTTCCAAAAACCCCTTGATTTAATTATGTTGTTGTGATCGTAACTCTTAGAACCCACATACTATAAACTTCTGAAATTTTTTATTTCATGTTAACTAAACACATGAAATTTTTTAAAATTTTCTCTTTTTTGTATTTTTTATCATTATCCGGTTAAACAAACGGATCCTTAGTAACCCTCCACCAACCCAGCTTATTTGAACCCGTGGCTGGTAATTGACCTACGCCCACACGCAAAGTCTTCTCTCCAGGAGGGAGTTAAATCTAGGGAAGGTGGCCCAAAGAGCATTTTTACCTTGTGAGTATTGAATATTTGACCAATGCCTAATGCCAACTTAAGGCATCTGTTAAGTGACCGACTACCACTTGAGCTAATTGCTTGGGGTTAAAATTCTATTACTTCACACATCATTATGTTTACAAATTATGTTAATTTTTTATATTAAGATAACATTACTCATAAAATTATGCTACGAAATCAGTTAAAGAAAGTAGTGCAACCATAGATATTCACTCAAAAGCGCTAGTCAAGGAGTTATCGTCATTGCTCTTACATATATACCCAATATGAAATTCAATACACGCCAATAAAGGTCATTGGAGAGGCGTTGTAAGATTCAGCATACCCAGTCTGAAGATATTTCTAAGTCATTTTCAAACTAAAAACTTGGAAAATCCAAGGATGTTGATTTACTCTATCTTGTCCAAGTTGCTCTTCAACATCAGAACCGTTTTTTCTTCCCTTCCCCCATTTGTGTCTAAATGATTCTTCTTCTCTGATTGTATTTGTCTCTCTCCTTTGATGTGTCCCTAAACTTGTCCTCTTTATATAATTGGATCCAGATGATGAAGAAGAAAAACTGAGCCCAGAATCTGAATTTAATGGTGTCTCATCAGTTTTCCTATTCCTTCGATTGTAACTCGTGGGGCCCAATGTTAGCTGGATGTCACTTTCATCTTCCATCTCTAACAATCCATCACCGTCTGATTCCACATCTTCATGATCAGCAGGCAGTTCCAAGTCAAGCTTAATCTGTTGAGGCTTTTGATGCCTATCATGATGATAATCAATCGTCGCAATGTTTTTCATAAGCATTTTCTGGATTCGATATAGACGATGAAGTTCGTACACCTGCAAATATTGGTCAAAAACTTAGAACCATTTCTGCGAGAAAAGATAACCCTGTCGGATTGGTTTGGTGGTTGAATAATTTACTCATAAATTCAAATGTTTTGAATTCGAATTTTGACAATTTTTTGGAATCAGACCGTATGAAATTTATTCCTCATAAATATCTTTGTCTCGACGTGAATGAATTGCTTTTGACGGGATTGGGGAGGGAATTAGTCGGAATCTAACCAGAACACTGCTCACCGTTGAACAAGAAATAAGAGAATAAAGTGTAAATTTGTAAGTGTTGGAATCACATTAAATTTTAGTCTAATCAGTTCGAGTGATTTGTGGATGATTGTGTGTTGAAATCACTAATTAAATGGGAAAAAAAATGAAGAAAAATGCATACCTGCTCTCTGAACGTTTCTTCGTGCTGTAACATGGCCATCTTCATGTATTCCTTATCGTACGGCTTAAGAAGCTTGTCCATTGAAACCTTAGAGATCACCTTCTGCGCTCTTGTGCAATTAGTTCCAACCTAAAGAATAAACCCAGATACTAAAAACTTCAGAGTCCTTTCTAGGAGTTTCTGCTTCGTTTGTAGATTGAAATGATGTTTTTGAAGTTACTAGACAGAATTGTTGTCGTTTCTCCACGCCTTATTTTCCAGAATATGGCAGCACTTGAAGCTGGAATTTGAGAATTGAATGCAAAACCTCTCTCCCTATTCAACTACTCATCCAAGAACATTTGCGGTCTTGTTTTTTTTTTTTCAGTTCTCTCAAAAGGAAATGAGGACTTTTCTTATAAGTTCTCGCTCGATCCAAATGATATAACACATACGAAACCACTGCATTTTGGTTGCATGCATGTCAAGTAATATCCTCCACCGACACCTCTTGGCTACAAAACAACAAAAGATGACCAAGATTCAGAAACAAAGGATGCACTTGTAATTGGTAATTGATAATTGATCTGTAATCATAATAGAAAGATTCTATTAGAACAACATTCCTGTATATATGTACCAAGTAGGGACACATTCTTGCAATCTGTTCATTAAAATCAACAATTCCCAACAACCCTGAAAACAAAATGTTTAACTCTTTCTGTTTATACTCTAAAACCGAACTTCATTAATTTGAGAAAATAAAATCTACCCGTAGGATTTTTTAGTTGCTGCAGGTTGATCACCAACCAAAAATAAAAAAATATAACCTGAATTAAACTAATAATTTCTCCATAGTGACTCAGAAATGGAAATAATATTTTGAAAATTAACTAAAATTTACCATTAGGACTTTTTAGTTGCTGCAGGCTGAATAGAATCCAAACCTCAAAAAGACAAAAACCCTTTGTTGTTCCATTTGTCTACTGGCATATCTTAACCAAACCCTCCGCATGTCCTCGATTTTCAATTGTATGGTCTGGAGAAGCTTACTTATCATATAGTTGAGGGGCTATATCCATCGTTGTCCTCTCCGATAGAATCAATCAGGGACTNCAATTGTATGGTCTGGAGAAGCTTACTTATCATATAGTTGAGGGGCTATATCCATCGTTGTCCTCTCCGATAGAATCAATCAGGGACTTGAGAGGCAGTGGGTGGTTTACCCTGCGGTGGATGCCAGCGGTTCAAGTCCGGTTGTCACCAACTCGTGAACTTAGCTGAGACAACCCTAAAGGCAACTGGGTATAAGCAGGGAAATAAGTCAGGAGTATCTCAGACCCAAACTTATACTGTCAGAAGTCATGTATATACTCTTCCTTCTTGATACTATGACATATAACAAAGCATTACGAAACACGAATTCGATCTTTACTATAGGGGGAGTATCACAGAGAGAGTAGGTAAAATAAACAAGCTTTTACCAAAAAAAACCTTCATTTCTCTTTCTGAACTCTTCACCATCTCTACCATCATATGAAAAAGGTAGAAAACAAAGAAAGAATTTTCTTACCTGTTAGAGTCTGAGAACTGGAATGGATCACAACCTGTGTGTTAAAAGACGAAGGAAACAGCAAAGTTGCAAGAAAACAGAAAGTAACACCTTCTCCTTTCACACATTCCCCTAGTATATATATATTGCAAAAGATAAAATAAAATTCTTAGGGAAGCTCATATTATAATGTGAGCGAGTTGTAAACTTAGACGTTTTGAGTTTGAATCTCAATAATTTTTTGGGACTAGGTCATGAGAGATTTATCTCTCATGAATACTATAATTCTAACATGAATGACTTATTTTTGATCAGACTGAAGGAAAAATTAATCAAAGCGTATATAAATTGGCATCGACACTGCTTATCTTTGAAAAAAGGAAAGAAAGAAACGAAGATAAAATAAAAGAACTGAACTGAAGAAGAAATAAAGATTTCTCTTTTTCACACAGAAATCACAGGCCTTGTGGGGTTTGAGGCATGCCAAACAAATCTCAGTGCCTTAGCCAATGTGACTCAAGTTTTGTGAAAGAGATGCCTCAGACAAATCCAGCAGTGCAGACATATTAAATTCTGATATTATAATACTCATATATACTTGTGGATCACAACACAAGGCCTTACTTACACTACTCCAGTCCAGACAATCATCAGCGAATCACATGCACCCAAAAATTCTATATAACAAACACCAGTTGGGTCAGTAATATATATATATATATGCTGTATATATACATCACTTTGAGGAAGAGTAAGGTGGCATTACCTGGCGTGCTGATGAATTGATCTTCACCGTACGTTTAGTGAGTAGAGGGCCCGCCTACGGCATCAAAAAGAAATCTTACAATACCAATACCATACTTCCATTACTCATCCAATAAAATTTGACATTTGTATATCTTTTTTATTTCACTATTTCATACAAGGTGTCATTTTACAATCAACGGCTATAAATCCATCAAACTAAAATTAACAACTCTTAATCAATTTCGTTAGGATACCCACTATTATTTTTTGGGTACGATAGACTTTATACCTTGGGATAGTCCTGAAGTTAAGACTCACCATCGGACCTTAAATAGTGTAAAGTGTAGAGGATTGGTTCATTGTATATAGAAGTGTAAGGAATAAGGACAATTCAAGACAAGTCTTTCATTGACTTGATTATTCACCACCAATGTGGAAGGCCCAACACATAATCATGACCACTAATTAACAAAAAATGCTAAATAAATTTAAAAAACTGTAGATCAAAGTATTCAATTGTTTTTTGGGGAAGAGATGAATTGGCCTATCTTTGTTATTTTTTAACTGTACAGACAGATAGGAGGAGGGAGATGCAAGATCATGAATGATGAAGAGACACGGATGTAGAAATAACACAATTTTTTTTTGGGGTATCGTAGCCAAATGTATCATTATAAGGTGCAAGCAAAGAAGAAACTAAAATNGCAAGATCATGAATGATGAAGAGACACGGATGTAGAAATAACACAATTTTTTTTTGGGGTATCGTAGCCAAATGTATCATTATAAGGTGCAAGCAAAGAAGAAACTAAAATTATTCATAATGAAGTCTAACTTGACATTTAAAAGTTGTTTTATGATTGATCTCAATAGTCTGCAATTGATCATAACTTTTAGGTTGTAATTTCATNATTGATCATAAATTTCAGGTTGTAATTTCATTTTGAGTTATAAATTAAATATTCTAAAGGTTGTAATTTCACCTTATAACTTTTAGTATAATACCATTTCATTACCATAGTGGTTCCCTCATAACAAAAGATTTTATATAAATAAGCTAAAGGTTGAAAATATAAAAAAGAGAGCAAGTACAAGAACAATAAAATCCATGTCTGCTCATAGTTATCTACAAAGGATGGTCACATGTTAGGCTTGAGCATGCATTGCGGATAAAACTGCTTTTCTCCCTCTCTCTCTCTCTTTTTTTTATTTTTGGCTGTGAGTGCCCAAGTTTGCACCAATTACTTTTTTTTTTTTTTTGGGAGAGGAGTTGAACCCTTGACCTCATGAAGACAGAATTTTTTAGAAGACAAAGAATACAATTGAACCAAAGGCCCATTGATACCAATTATTTCTTTAAGCTCTAAGCTGACCATCGTAATTCGAACTAAGAATATGTTCTCCAAAAAACAAGGATGACTAATCTATAAAAAGCGTAAGAATATCGAATTTAAGACCTCCTACTTCTCTTTCTGTGTGTGTATGTGTTAAATCCAAACAAATACAAAAATGAGTGTTCTACTGTATTTGAAGCCAAAACATTTGGCTAAAAGAAAGAATATTGAAGCCGAGAGAGAGAGAGAGAGAGGGACATGCAAGCACGCGTTGCCGGTGCAGGAAGGTGCATCAGTATGGGGTAGTGGGTCCTTTTGGGTTCACTAAAAGGCTGAGCCACGGGCTGGGCTTCTGTCCTTTGGTCCCACCTTTATAAAGAAAGTGAAATCATGTGGCAGGCCTCTTCAAATTTCTTTTTGAACTGAGCCTGCAATGAGGTGCAGAGCATTTTGCTCACTCGTGCTTGCTAGTGTCAAAACATGACTCCATGGAAACTCTGAATTTTAGCCATGTCAGTGGCTAGTGGGAGTGAGTCCTATAGCATAGCCAAATAATAATTTAAGATGATCACAATTTTCTGGTCATTAATGATATAGAATAGGTCACAACAGATTAGTTGGAGCGTGAAGACCCATCGCAGGTTCTTTTACCTAGCAAAGACTGATCTTTTTTTTTTTTTTTCTGGTACATTGAAAATGTTAAATAGGCTAAACAGAGTTCTATAGTAAAATAAGTGCTAGCAATATCTGCCTTAAAGGCAGTATACAACTTGAGGTGGGGGCTCTTGTAGCTCCACAAGAGACTTTGACTGTCGTACTACTCCCAGCTTCGCAAGGGTATCAGCACTTTGGTTGCTTGCCTCCTACACCTGATGGCTCTAGGTTCCCTTTCGAACATATATCTGTATTGTGTGGACGGGTAATATTATTGGAACATAATTTGAGGACCTGATTTGAAGACTTATGATTATGGTCATTGAATTGCCAATGAGTCCCATCATTCAATACACTTTAATATCAACTCAATGGTCGGAATGCAGATCATTGCTTCTGAATTTCTCTCTCTATAACCGATGGTCTTTTTATTTATGTCATCCTTAGATATATGGTTACAATATAATACCTAAGATCTTCCTATTTCAACTGTTAAATAATCAATTATTTTTAAAGTTTAAACTTTTAGAATAAGTTTTAAGAGTAGTTATATGGTATCAGATCATAAGATCCTATGTTAAGTTCAAATTTGGCCGCTACACTAATTATTAAATGTGAGGAGACGTGATACGTTCATATAGTTTACATGTGAGGAGACATGTTAAAATATAAATACTTAAGTTACCCTTTAAAGTAGATGGTGTTCAACATGAACTATATATCGATGGATTGATTGCTTCTCAATTTCTCCTCTCTTACTAGAATTTATTTTTTTTCAAAAAAATAGAATAAAAGGGTTTGAGAGGACAACCGAGCTAAAATCCTTAATTGGGCGTGATCATAGCACTCCGAACCCATGATTGCTTGGTGGCATTATATAATTCATATCATATTTTGTTTGTACTCAAACCTAGAATATACTAGAATAGATCACGTCCTAATCCAGTACTCCACAACCACATCTTCAACCTTTCTCTAAAGACCACATCTTCATCAATCGAGGACGACAGTCCTGCCAAAATAGCCTGATATGTTCTTCTGTTTCATGGGTAACCATTGCCAGATTCCTTTTGGCTGCTTTCTCTTCATGTGCATCTTTCTTTATCTCCCCAGTACCTCCTCCAGTTATTTATGGTGCTGATCAAATAGCCAAATAAATCAGCCATCCACATAAATTCTATATAATTTTTCCTTTAGTAGTTCGGTGGATCAAGTTTCTTATTTTGCGTCTTGTATTAAATCCTATGTATGAGTAAGTACCCACAAAAAAATTGCGA